TATTTAATTCCCATGGCAACATATTGGCACTAGTTCATAACAAAGGATCTGCCAGGCTAGGCTAGACCTGGCCAGCAGGTTTGGTCCTCTCCAGTTAATTCCCCAAGTGTGCAAAAGTTCAATTTTGATGGGTCCGCCCTACCTTGATAGTAAATTGAGTACAGGTAAATTGAGTCTGATTGGGCTGAGATCTCAGTTTTGTCTGTGTTAGTGGTTTCTTTGTAGTTCTCAATAGTTCTTTGCAGTTCTTGTAGTTGCTTATTAATTGCCTTATTTGTGTTCTTTCAGGTAGGATTTCCATCCTCATTTTAATGTTTTTGATGGCAGATCCCCTCTGAAAGAAATTTGCCAGGAAAACCTGTGATAGGTTCGCCTTAGGGTTACCGTAAGTCTGAAATGAGTTGAAGGTACACAACAACTCCAGCCTACTGATTTTATTGTCATAATCTTATATTTTAACTTGATTCCCCAATTATGTAGAGGAGGGTTATGCTAACAGTGATGTAAGAGCAACCAGAAACAATCATTTCCAAATTATCTTATTGTTAATTTTTTAAAATGAGAGATACAAAAAAGCAACCACCGTAATTAAATTGTATACAGAAATGACAGATAGTACATATTGCAGGAAGTTTATAATCCAAAAAAGAGATTCAGACATCTTAAATATTCATGATTTGGGTATTAAGATCTCTTAGTGGGTATCTCCAAAAGCAGAAAATTTGATATAATTCTAAAAGCAAATTATTTATTTTCAAATTGCATTTGACACAAAGGAACCTAAAGTAGACAGTGCACATTTATACACAAGAATATCATATTGGTAGTCCCAACTAGAGTAGGCGCATTGAATCAATAGGTTTTACATTGTTAACTCACCATTCAGCAATTGATTTAGTGGATTCTGTTTGGGTCTGCCAGTAGAATTCAGGCCATAATGACATATGCACATGTGCAGAGGTGGATGTTGGATAAAGGCCATTGTATAACAAGGGGATATGGTATATCTATGCTGCCACTTGCACTCATACATTGATTCAACAACCAGTGAGATCCAAATGCTTCCTGGTTCCTTGAATCCCTTAAACAACTATAACTGATGTGGATTCTATTTCCATTGTTTCAGATTGTAACTGCATCCCAGTGTCTTTGAATACATGGTTGCTGTGGCCAGTTCACCTGGTGGACAACCTGCTGTGGATGAACCTCTCTATGTTACTTCACTAGATTGATTTGCAGACTGCACCAGGGTTGTAGTCAAAGTCTGGCCAGATTTTTTTTTATCACTGTGGGCCTTCAAGTTGTTTCCAATTTATTGTGACCCTAAGGCAAACCTATTCATGGGGGTTTCTTGGCAATTTTCTTCAGAAGGGGGTTTGCCATTACCATCCTATGAGGCTGAGAGGATGTGGCTTGCCCAAGATCACCTCAGTGAGTTTCCAAACCCTGGTCTTCAAAGTCATAGTTCAATGCTCAAACCACTACATGGTAGAGCCTGACAAAGTTTCTTCTGTCACAGCCAAGTGGAAATTACAAATCTTTTATTTCATATATAGAAAAAAGTGTTTACATTGTGGATACAATTACTGTTTATACTCATATATAAGTCAATTTTAGTCAAAAAGTTAACCCAAAAAAACTGAGTTGACCTATTCATGGGTCAATGCAAGTACTGTTCTTTAACTCTGATTTTTTTAAAAAAGGAACCATCCGATGGTGAAAACCAAGAACATCCTTTAGATCCTTTGTTACATGTCCCTAAGTTTTACCCTTGACTTATCCATGGATCATTTAATAATAAAATTCATTTATACCCCGCCCCTCTGCATAGCAATCGGGGGGGCTTCCAAGATAGAAATACAACTCAATAAAATCAACCCCAAGCCCCTACCCTCCTGCCCCTTAAAAAGTTATTAAACAAACATCAGATTAAAACAATTTTTAAAATAAGGCGGATGCCGACCAATCACCATAACTACAGCAGCAAAGGTTACAACAGCTGGGATGGGGGGAAAAGGGTACAAAATGACAGGTTCTGTGACTGGGAAGACTAGTCAGGAAAGGCCTGCCAGAAGAGATCATTCTTGACAGGCCTTTTGAAGCTGTCTAAAGTTGCCATAAGACGGATCTCGTCTGGAGGCCGTTCCATAGTCTGGGAGCGGTCATCGGGAAGGCCCTCTGGGAAATAGCCGACAATCTAGATTTTTTCACCTGTAGTAAGTTCTTCCCAGAGGACTGAAGTGCGTGGGGTGGATTGTACGGGAGTAAAATATCAAAATTCATAACATTGGTCCCCAAACCTGCCCTTGACCTATGCATGAGGTTGACTCATAGTCGAGTAGATACTGTAACTGATATTTTAAGGGAACATCTGCTTATGTTTGGTGTTCTGTGAAGCACTGGATGGCAGTGGATATAGAAGTATTAGAACTTTCATTAGAAATTTCTAATTGAAATTAATGAAATTAGATATCCAAATTAAGTTGAAAAAGGTGTGCAGAGCAGTTCTTGCTGTGATGTCTTTAATGTATTCAGAATAGAAGTACATGCACAAATACACAATGTTATTTATTATTTATTTATTTCATTTTTATGCCGCCTTTCTCCCAAAAAGGGACCCAAGGTGGCTCACAAGATAAAACACTTTAAAAACAATTAATTTTTTTAAAATAACACAGTTAAATCAGTATAAAATTAAAATTAAGAACATACAAAACACATAATCTAATACAGCTACTCCATATAAAACCACCCTGCAATGATTTTAAAAAGCCCACCTGAATAAAAATGTTTTTATTTGCCGGTGAAAGGCCAGCAGGGAGGAGGCCAGCCTAGCCTCCCATGGAAGGGCATTCCAGAGCGTGGGAGCAGCCACTGAGAAGGCGCTCTTTTGTGTCCACACCAGGTAAGCCTGTGATCTTGGTGGGACCAAGAGAAAGCCTTCTCCTAAATATTTTACAGTTCTAACAGCTTGGTACAGGGAGATACAGTTTCTCAAATTGTTTGGACCTAAGCCATGTAGGGGTGTGCATGATGGAATGAGCTCCTGTCACTAGTCCAGGCTTCTGCCAATCTAGCAGTTCGAAAACATGCAAATGCAAGTAGATAAATAGATACCACTTCGGTGGGAAGGTAAACAGCATTCTATGCAGTCATGCTGTCCTCATGATCACAGAGTAGTCTCTGACAACGCTGGCTCTTTGGCTTAGTAATGGAGATGAGCACCACCCCCATGGTCAGACACGACTTGACAACTTTGTCAAAGGGGAATACCTCTAATTTTACCTTTTAAGCCATGTAGGGCTTTATAGGTTGTGACCAGCACTTTTAATTGTGCCCAAAAACGAACCGATACCCAGTGAAGTTGTTCCAGTAAGGGAGTTACATGCTCCCTGTAACTGCCCCGGTTAGCATTCTGGCTGCAGTGTTTTGAACCCGCTGAAGCTTCTGGACAGTTTCCAAAGGCAACTCCACGTAGAGTATGTTACAGCAGTCTAAACGGGATGTAATCAAGGCATGTATCACTGTAGCCAGATCTGATATTTCAAGAAGCGAGTGCAGCTGGCGCATTAGCTTTAACTGTGAAATGCACTCCTGGCAACTGCTAAAACCTGGGCATCCAGGCTCAGAGTATAGTCCAGAAGAACACCCAAGCTGCAAACATGAGATTTCAGGGGGAGTGTAACCCCATCCAGCACAGGCTGAATCCCTATTCCCTGATCTGCTTTACCAGGAGCACCTCTGCCTTGACTGGATTAAGCTTCAGTTTGTTTGCCCTTATCCATTCCATTACTGACAGCAGACACTTGTTCAGTACAGAGACAGCTTCCTTGGAATCAGATGGGAAGGAGAGATAGAGTTGAGTGTCATCAGCATACTGGTGACACCACACTCCAAAACTCTGGATGATCTCTCCCAGCAGTTTCATGTAAATGTTGAATAACATGGGGGACAGAACACAACCCTGAGGGACCCCACAGGTCAGTGGCCAGGAGGTCGAACAGGGGTCCCCCAACACTACCTTCTGGGACTGCTCCTCCAGGAAAGACCAGAACCACTGCATAACAGTGCCTCCAAGTCACATCCCAGAGAGGTGGCCCAGAAGGATGCCATAGTTGATGGTATCGAAAGTATGATATAAACTGCTAAAGGGTGATATAAACTGTTTGGGACTCTTCTTGACTGGAATTACTGCTTTTCTTGGAGCAGCCACATTTCATATCACTTCATATAGATTAGTTTTTGCCACAGCATACTTTAATTGCACTGGTGCAAATAGATCTAGGCCGTGTGTGGAATAGTGAGTTTCTTTTACATAATAGTTCTTTTGACTTTTATCGCATGTTGTTTTAAATCAAATCAAGCCTCCCGGGCTGAGCCGGGAGTTGGGATGGAGTTGGGGATTATCACAAGCTAAATCGCTGAATCGCTAGCTACCATCAGCCCAAGTCCAAGCTGGGCTCAGCCGGTGCTTTTTAGAAACCGGAATGCTTTCTGGCTTCTAAAAAGCGCCTGCTGAGCCCAGCTGGGACGCAGGCTGAAAGCGGCCGGTGGTTCGGCGGTGATTAGCACGTGATGCAGCCCAGGAGGCTTGATTAGATTTTAAACGACATGAGATAAAGTTGTGTATTTTATATTTGTTGTTTTTGTGTGTTTTCAAGTCATTTCCCACTTATGGAGACCCTCAGGTTAACCTGTCATGGGGTCTTCTGGGGCTGAGAGTATGTGACACACTCAAGGTCACCCAATAGGCTTTGACGGCTGAGTGGGGATTTGAACCCTAGCCTTCAGAGTCCTAATCCAATGTTCAAAACACTACATCACACTGGTTCAGATATTTGTAGCTTGTTGTTGTATCCATTCAAGTTGTTTCTGATTTATGAGAGCCTAAGACCATGGGGGTTTTCTTGGCAAGATTTATTAAGATGGGAGTTTGCTATCGCCATCTTCTGAGGCTGAGAGCGTGTGACTTGCCCAAGGGTCACCCTGTGGGTTTCCTTGGCCAAACCAGGATTCGAACCCTGGTCTCAGAGTTATAGTTCAATGCTCAAACCACTGCGCCATGCTGGCTCTCCATATATATCTACTATATATGAAACCAGGCAATTTTCCAGTTCTTTGGCATACACAGGCATCACAACGCAGCAGAATTCATGTTGAAAAGCCTTCTTTAGAAAGGGTCCAATGCATGATAGATTCTGGAAGAAATATACTCTTGACAGACCTGTGCTGAGCTTATCACATGTTGGATCCCTGGGAATAACACAGTTCCATGTATGGAACTCAATGTGAGGTGTGTACTAAAATGGTATTGTGGTATGAAGATTAAATGCAGCCTGTAATACTGAGAATGGCGGAGAATGGTATTTCCATAATAATTAGTCTGAAGTATACACCAACCTGAAACTTTATTAAAATTTTAAGGGCAATTTTCCTTCTGGTACTGTTGTTGTCCATATGGCAAATTATGAAAATTTACATTAAGTAGAGCTAAAGAACACAGTAAGGTCTATCAATTGACTCAATAAAATAGCATTTACGCCTTGATCTAGATAAGAAAGTACATTTCAAAGTAGACTGTGTACATTGCAAGACACTATGCTGCTTCCTGTAAGCAGTTTTCCCAGGGAGTGTCCCTCTTTGCTTAACCAAACAATATAATTATGTAGATGGTACTGTCTTTTTTGTTCATTTCAGGGTTTGGCTTCTGTTGCAGGCAAGAAATAAAGACGTGTATTTATCTTTTGCAGTCTTTGAAAGTCAAATATGCATTGCTAGTGAAGAAAAACGATGTGCTCCTTTAACACTATTTTATGTTAATGGAGTATACTGCGACAGGTTTATTGTATGCACTAATAACAAAACTTGGTTTTCTGAGTATTGATTTTTATCTTGTCAAATTGGCACCATCTATGTACAAGACATCAGGCTTGGGACAACATCAACATGGGCAGAAATATCTATATATTGCTATCTCAATCTATTTATATGGGGGGAAACCTATGAAAGGAGGCATGCTCAGTGCCACAGTATATTGGTTGAGTGGTGGGTAAAAGAGACAGGAGTGTAATAGATTGTAGTATCTTGGCAAAAGACATAGTTGGCTGACAGGAAGCCAGAACAGGAGTATTCTGCACTGGAACTGTTGGCTGCAGGGCCCAGTTCTTGTACTAAATGCCATTTTCTACTTGAATTAAATTCCGTCTATTTTTATTACCGTAATTACTGAATTTGATAGGAAATTAATGGGATAATTCAAAGCTAAAAAGGTCCCAAGTTTTATTGTCTAGTAATAGCATGGTGTACACAAATGTGGTGTAGTGGTCTAGGCATTGGACTAGGACTCTGGAGACCAGGGATCAAATCCCAGCTCAGCCATGGAAACCCACTGGGTGACCTTGGGCAAGTCACACTCTCTCAACCTCAGAGGATGACAATAGCAAACCCCTCTGAAGAAACTTGCCAAGGAAATCCCATAATAGGTTTGCTTTAGAGTTGCCATAAGTGAAACGACTTGAAGACACACAACAATAACAAAAATAGTTCTTATTTTTGCAGCTTAGTGATTAGTGTGGGTATTATTCAGATATGTCTCAGAAGGGCATGCAAAAAGGTGCTGCTTTATTGTTGTTCGGATCTGATTAACAAAACATAATGTGCCAATCAAATTCTCTGTAACTGATACTTTTGTGCCACTTACACCTTTATCCGTACTATATCAGAAGAAGGTATTGTAGGTTAAGGGTGGTGGTGGAGAGATATTTGATACCATTCCCAAGATTCCCTGGGAATTTCCTCCTTCTGCTGCTGTGTAGCTGGAAAGCAGGAGAGAGCCAGTGTGATGTAATGTTTTGAACGTTGGACTAATCCCTGCTCCACCATGGAAACCCAATGGATGACCTTGGGCAAATCACACACTCTCAGCCTCAGAGGAAGACAAAGCCAAATCTCCTCTGAGCAAACCTTGCTAAGAAAATCATGTGATAGAATCACCTTGGGTTCCCATAGGTTGGAAATGGCTTGAAGGCACACAACAACAACTAGCTAGAAGGAGGAGAGACCTAAATACCCTGAAGGCATCAGATCCTGTCTGATCTTGGAAGCTAAAGCACGATCAAGTCTGGTTACTATTTGATGGGGAGCAGCCAAGGAATATCAGGTGCATAGGATATATTTCAGAGGAAAGTAATGACAAACTGCCTCTGAGTACTCCTTTCTGAAGAAGGTTCAATTTATGGGGGTCACCATGAGTCAACAGGTGACATGAAGTCTCTCTCACACACACACACACCTGAAGATGGTTTTGCTTCTGTGTACATTCAGTTCTCATCAACACACATGTAGCTCATCTCTCAGGTAGCATTTCAGTAGTGTCTATATGAGTAGAGGTACATGCATATGGGAATCTATGTGGAGAAACCTTTGGGAAAATGGGGAGAGAAGGAATGGCTGAGAGGCTGATACATTATTATTGTTAATGGAGGACTCATGGGTGTTGCTGGAGTCAGTCATTAGAAACACAGACAGCTAGGATTCATGTTGAAGACATGGTGAACTGTCTGCCTGATGCAAAGATCATGGACGTCACATGTCATCTAGATTCTCTGGGGTGGAATTAATAGTTGTGGTGCATGTGACATGGCAAATGTAGTTGTGATGTCTAGAAAACTAAATCTAGATTGAGAAGCAGGAGGTTGAAAACCAGGGCTCCAAGGTAACTTCCTCTGAAATGTCTGTGTCATGTTCCATGAAGCTAAGGAGTTTCAATGTGGAAAGGGGTTGGTAAAGTAGAGATATGTTAGACATTGGGAAACATTTTGGGACAAGCCCAGGCTCCATAAAAAGGAGAGCCTCCACCTGAACCAGAATGGGAGCAGACTACTGGCATGAAACATAAAAGTGATGGCACAGTAACTTTAAAAAAAACCTGACCACCAGTTCATCTGGAGGACCTAGAGATTCTTAGAGAGGTGTTCTCTCAGATTAAAAAAAATAGTGCTTTTTATTTGTGGTTTTTCTACTTTCATGAGAGTCCTGTGCCTCCAACCCAGCAAATGTGGAGAACCTACTATAGAGACATGAGGAGGATATTGTGTGTAGCTATTGCTGTGTTAATGCAAGAAGCCTCTGAATAAAAATGGGAGAACTGGAATACTTGAAGGGAGGATGTAGCAACCATAACAGAAACATGGCAGAATGGAACAAAGTAGTGGGATATAGTCAACTTTGCATATAAACTCCACGGGAATGACACAGAAGGGCATGGGGAAGGTACTGTTGCTTTGTGCATCAAGGCATTCACTATGTCAAACAAGCTTTGTTGCTAACTGCCCTCAAGTCGATCTTGATTCATGGCGACCCTATGGATGAGACATCTCCAAAACCCTCCATCCTCCACTGCTCTACTTAATTCCTGAAACCCCTTCATACCTGTGACCTCCTTAATAGAGTCCATCCATCTGGCATGTGGCCTTTCTCTCTTCCTACTTCCTTTCACCTTCCCCAGCATTATTGTTTTTTCCAAAGAGTCCTCCCTTCTCATGATGTATCCGAAGTACGACAACCTAATTTGGTCATCTTGGCTTCCAGGGATGTTTCTGGTTTGATCTGCTCTGGGAAGCACTTGTTTGTCCTTTTGGCTGTCCATGGGATCCTCAACACTCTTC